CCCGTCCGGGGGTGAAACTCCCCCCCCCCCCCCCATTGGTGGTCAGATACTTGTTCCCCTTCCCACCGCCGTCGGCGGTGTGTCCCTGGTTTTCATTTTTAAAAGATCAGTACCTGCATTTGCGGAGAGCTGCTTCTGGAGACCATCTGATGACCGCGGGGTTGGAGGAGTCGGTCCACTTGAGTTGGTGCCGTGGTACGTCACTTTCGGGCTTCCATGTGCTCCAAGCCAATTTTCATGGAAGGGGAGAGGCCAAGCGGTGCTTATTGGCGCGGTTTTCGCTCAGCGGGGGCTGTGGAGACGCCGTTCTGGAGTCAGTCTGTGAGGATGGATGCCGCACCACGCACCGTACATCTGTCCGGCTGATACCTACGCCTGAGGTCTATGTATTCTCCATCACCAGAGGCCCCTGTGGTGCTGTGACTTGGGCAAAGTGGAGCTCCTTAGGGTGAAGGATTTTGGACTCTTATGATGTTCCCGCCTTCTGATTGCTTTTTTTCAGGCCCCCATAAGAGCAGAGTTCTGCCCAAGAAGATGAGGAGCGTCATACCCTAAACCTTTGTGTCATGCCGGCATAGATGGTCTTCTCAAGGAAGGATCTGCTGAAGCTCGTGGCATCCTCCTTTCTACTGTTGAGGAGGAACTTTCTTCTACATACCAGTTATGGGAAACCGTGAGCGCTCCCGTACACGCTCCCTCTGTGCCGGCACCTTCCAGCTGTGTACCTCCATCCAAGGAGCTTATGACTTCTGAGCCAGAGGAGCTCCGTGAAGCTCCAACCCGTATTCTCGGAATGAGGTTTCTGTAGGTTCTACATACAAGCTAAAGTCCATGAACCCATCGCTCTCCTGACCACTCGTTCCACATGGATGGGTGCCGCTGTAGTCAACAGATGGCAACCGTTCTGATCATCACGTTTTGCCTGAGGAAGGGGATCGTGCGAGACCCGGAAACGTTGCACCAGTCAATAAATAGAAGCGTTTGATCTGCGTCTGGAGTGCCGGTGTCCCTACTTCTAAGTACAAGCTGTCCCTGGAGGATGCGGATGACCTTCTACGGGCAATTTTATGAGACCTTTGCCATACTGCAGTCTCTTTGCCTAGACCTGATCTCATGTACCAAGGATGTAAAACAAGAGATTCTCCATAAGACGCTGTCTGAGGATTGGGCAGATCCCGATAGGAAACGTTTCTCTAGTTCACATGAGAGACGGTTCCCTTTTGCTGATAACCCGTCGGCTGTCTGGAACGAGGTTCCTAAGCTGGACCGCCCTATTTCTAAGAAGTCTGACCTCACGTTCGAAGACATGGGGTACCCTAAAAGATGCCATGGAGGTACTCCTCAGGAGAACCTGGGACTCAACCTTATGTCACCTGAAGCCCGCTTTGGCAACCAACCACATGTGTCACCAGAAATCTTGACGTCTAATCGGCTCATTTGAAGGCTCATCTTCTGGCAGGTGCCTCTAGAGACCAGATATTTGAGTCCCGGGCCATATTGCGGACGCTTCGGCAGAGTCGGTGAAGCTTTCAGTGTGTTCTTCTGCCCTTATGAATTCATCTAGATGCGTCCTGTGGCCTAAACCATGGGATGGGGCCTCAGATTATGCAGTTTACCTTTCTTTGGAGACCAGCTCTCTGGCCCTGATATAGAAGACACTGGGGGGTGTTCAGCAGACAGGAAGAAATAAAGCCTTTTAATAGAAGGTTCTTCTGTGGGCCAAAATTTCGCCCTCAAACAGGCAAGGAAGAGGATCAGCCCAAGAAGCATTAGATAGGGCCACAAGGTGTGGGATCCTGCTCCCGCCTTCTCGAGACACCAAGCTCCAGTGACTCCTTCCTCCAGTGGGGGAAGATTAGGGAGGTTCCTCTCGCAATGGGGGAAATTACATCTAGTCCTCATCAGGAGTTCGATTCCCCCGAAGGTTTTGGGTTAACCGATCTCCCAAAGGATCCTGTCAAGGCTTCAGCTCTACTGGGAGACCAAAGTCTCCATCTGTACCGGCAAGGGAACGAGGAAAGTTCTGACTCATCCTCAATCTCAAACCTCTAAATCAGGTTATTGGCTACAAGAGGTCCAGTATTGGTCCCATCTTCTCTGTCAGGACTACGAGGGAGTCTTTCTGGTGACACTGGACTTGAGGGATGCTTACCACCGGCCCATCCCCATAGAGGCTTCCTCACAAGTGCAAGGGTGGCAGTCAGGATGGGGAAGCAAGTGCAGAATTGTCAGTTCAGATCTCTATGAAGGTCCCCAGGGGAAGTTCTAATCCCCCCCTAAGGTTGCAGGACATCAGCACAATTCCTTACCTGGACGTTCTCCTGCTCTTTGCACCTTCTCCTCTGGCCGCGCACAAAGGATTAGCCACAGAATCTGGGATGGCTAATAAAGGACCAGAAATCGAATCTCTCACCTTCCCAGGCTTCAGCTTTCCTGGGTTGTTATCAACACGGTGGAGAAGAAAATGTATCTTCCCCCAGAGAAGATACAAAGAGTCTCCAGACTCTGTTCTCCATCTTCAGGGGCACCAAGCACGATCGGTATGGTCTATCATGCCAGTGCCGGGGCAGATGACTTCATGCTTTCCAGCGGTGCCTTGGGCTCACTTCCACAAAAGGAAAATTCTTGGAAAATTTGGGAGCGATCTTGGGTTTTTTGGACCTAGAGGTTCAGGTTCCAACCAGTGTGAAAATAAGTATTTGGTGGTGGAGATCGAGGATTCATCTCCCTCAGGGTGGTGGTTTCCTGTCACAAAATGGCTGACCACCGATGTCGGCTCCCGGGGCCTCGCATGGAAGACGCCATGGCTCGGTCAATGGGACAAAAAAGAGACAAGGACCTCTTCAAATTGGACGTAATTATGGGGCTGTACAGAAAGCTCTCCTAACATTTCAGGACTCAAAGGTTGTCGCCTTTAGGTCCTTTCAGGCAGTTTTACCTCCCAAGAAGCCCGGCTCTACAGGCCTTCTCAGAGGACACAAAGTCACCTCTTATCGGAGACAGCGGGACATTTTGGGGGGTTCGCTGGACAACCTAGTGGACTTTTTAAGTCAACACCAGATCCAACAAGAGGAGTGGTGCCCCTGAACCAAGAAGTTTTCCATCTCCTGGTGGAAGAATGGGGGACACCAGAAGTAGGACTCCTTGCCTCGCATCTAAATGCAAAGGTTCGAACTTTCTTCTCTCTCACCCCAACAAACGTTCTACCACTGTATGCAACAATTGTTTGGGATTTCAGACTTGCATATGCCCCCCCCCCCCCCCCCCCCCCCCTTCTGCCGCCGGGCCCACA